CCTGTTGTGTGTTGACTGACCTTATATTCCAAATGAGAGCATTCATCACTGATTGTTGGATTTAGTTAGTGTTCTCCTTGTGTGCACCCCAGCTTTTGGGGCTGCAAAATTATCTTTTTGTTGCTTCTTCTTACCTTTTGCTGCTGATTTTGCCTTTTCCACTTGCGTAGGTGATAAGTCACCTTGCCTTGCAGCATTCATAAGGTGTTGGGTAGTTGATTCTTGATCCATGTCGTATCCTGATCTACCAGGTTCTTCTCCTTCTTCATTGTCTTCCTTCCCTCCTGATGTAGCTCCAAATGCATTCTTTTTAGGGACCAAGGCCTTCTCTTCTCCTCTTTTTAACAGCTACAACAGTTGGGTACTAGGGTTGAGTTTTTTTTTTTTTAGCAATCCTCTAGGAAAGAGCCTAGGGCTAGTTTTTTATTAATTAAAAAAGGAAAATACAACAATTAGGAAAAGTAAAAATAAGGGGGACAATAGCACCGGTCTTGTTACCCATATAACACAAACCGGGCTAACCTTACCTTACTAATCCTATTGAGGCTTGCAAACCTCGCCTACTAACAAGCATGTAAAAAATATGAACTTGAAAGGACCAAGTATTCTATGATCATCACAGAGTTTATAACATACTCTGTGATGATATTACAAATGATAATACTAAGAAAGTGGTAGAGCATAGCATTTCACCCTCAGATGGACGGGCAGTCCGAATGTACTATTAAGATATTAGAGGATATGCTCCGTGCATGTGTGATGGAGTTTGGGGGTTCTTGGGATCAGTTCTTGCCACTTGCGAATTTTTCCTACAACAATAGTTATCAGTCGAGTATTCAGATAGCCCCCGTATGAGGCTTTGTATGGTAGACGGTGTTGGTGTCCAATGGGTTGGTTCGAGCCGGGCGAGGCTAGGCTATTGGGTACAAACTTGGTTTAGGATGCTTTGGAAAAGGTTAAGGTGATTCAGGATCGACTTCGTACAACGAGTCCAGATATAAGAGTTATGCAGATAGGAAGGTTTGCGATGCTGTATTCATAGTTGAGAAGTGGGTCCTGCTTTGGGTGTCACCCATGAAGGGTGTTATGAGGTTCAGAAAGAAAGGCAAGTTGAGCCCAAGTTTTATTGACCTGTTTGAGGTATTGCGGCAAGTTGGGGAGGTTGCTTATGATCTTGCCTTGCCTCCAAGCCTAGCAGGAGTTCATCCAGTGTTCCATGTTGCTATGCTCCGAAAGTACCACAACGATCCATCTCATGTGTTAGATTTCAGCTCAGTCTAGTTGGACAAAGACTTATCCTACGTTGAGGAGCCAGTGGCCATTTTGGACAGGCAGGTTTAGAAGTTGAGGTCAAAGAACATTGCTTCAGTAAAGGTTCAGTGGAGGGGTCAGTCGGTCGAAGAGGTGACTTGGGAGACCGAGCATGATATGTGCGGCTGTTATCCTCATGTTTTCACCACTTCAGGTATGTCTCTATGTTCGTTCGAGGATGAATGATTGTTTTAAGAGAGGGAGGATGTAACGACCCTGCTGGTTGTATTGAGAGTATTATCCCCTATCCCCTATTTACTGTTTCCTCTGTTTCATTTTATGCTTATGTGACCTGCCGAGAGGATTTGGTTTAGGCATTGGAGTGAAATGGGACACTTAGTCCCTAAAATGGAAGCTTAAGTTCTAGGATTTTGACCATAGTTGGAATTGTGTGAAGACGACTTCGGAATGGAGTGTTATCGGTTCCGTTAGCTCCGTTGGGTGATTTTGGAATTAAGAGTGCATCCTAGTTGTGAATTGGAGGTCCGTAGTTGAATTAGGCTTGAAATGGCAAAAGTTGGATTTTTGGGAAGTTTGAACGGGAGTAAACTTTTTGATATCGGGGTCGGATTTCGATTCCGAAAGTGGGAGTAGGTCCGTAATGTCAAATGTTACTTGTGTGCAAAATTTGGGGTCAATTGGACGTGATTTGATAAGTTTCATCATCGGTTGTAGAAGTTTAAGGTTTTAAAGTTCATTAAGCTTGAATTGGGATGCGATTCATGTTTTTAGCATTGTTTGATGTGATTTGAAGTCTCAGCTAAGTCCATATGATGTTTTAGGACTTGTTTGTATGTTTGGTTAAGGTTCTGGGGGGCTCGGGTGTGATTTGGATCATGTTCGGAACATTTCGGGACTTGTTGGAATTGCAGAAAATCATTGATGTTCTATTGTTGGTTCCCTTCATCGCGTTCACGAGATAGGTCTCGCATTCGCGAAGGGTATCTAGGAGGCCAGCAAAGTTTGTTCTTCGTGTTCGCGAAGTTGGCCATGCGTTCGCGAAGATGAAGGAAATTATTCTCCGCATTTGTGTATGAGGGGTCGCGTTCGGGAAGGGGAATCTGGTAGCTGAGAATTTTGGACTTCACAAACGTGAGGTACATTTTGTGTTTGCGAAAAAGAAAAGACCTGGGCAGTAGATTAAATTTCAAAATCGAGGGTTTTTATCCCATTTTTATTTTGGGACTTAGAGAGCTCGAATTAAGGTGAAATTTCAAAGGTTTTTTAGAGGAAACATTTGGGTAAGGATTCTACAATTATTTTTGATTAATATCCACTGATCCATCGTTAATTTCATCATTTAATTAAGGACTTGGGTTGAGAAATTTGGGGGGAAAGTTGGAAAGTTTTTCAACCGAAGGGGTTTTCATTGAGATATTGGTATCGAATTTGAGTAATTTTGGTATGGGTGGACTTGTGGTTGAATGGGTATTCATATTTGTGACTTTTACCCGATTCCGAGACATGGGCATGGGTCGACTTTTTGGGGTGAATTTCTAATTTCTTGCTAAATTCTTAATTTCATTAATTAGATTAGTTTCTTATAGTTATATTTATGGTATGTAATTGCTTTTGGCTAGATTTCGGCCATTCAGAGTCGGAAAGTCAAGGAAAAGGCATTCTTATTAACTGATTGAGCTTGGCTTGAGGTAAGTGGCTTGCCAAATCTTGTGTGGGGGAACTCCCCTTAGGATTTGGTACTGTTATGATGATTCTATGATATGTGAGTGTCGTGTACGCGAGGTGATGAGTGTGTACACGGGCTAATTATTGAAAATTAGGTTTTTACTGAACAGTAACTTGTTATATCTTAAATGATCCCAGCATGTGTAGTTATCTTATTTTGTCTAATATCATATATCTACGTGTCTTAAATACTTATTTGAAATTTGTGTGTCATACTTACTTGAATTTCCTACTTTTTTCTTGATTTGTATTTAGTCTTAAACTGTAGGATTTCTTGCTGTTAATTGTTGTTTTCCCATCGATTTCGAGCTGTGTGTTTACTTTTGGGACTACGAGGCGGTACCTCGGGAGATCCCCATTGCATATTTATTTATGGGACTACGAGGTTGTACCTGGGGAGATCTCCTGTTGCATATTTACTTTTGGGACTAGAAAGCAGTTCATCGGGAGATCCCCCGTTGCATATTTACTTTTGGGACTACGAGGCAATACCTCAGGAGATCCCCTGTTGAGTATTTACTTTTGGGACTACAAGGCGGTACCTCAGGAGTGCCCCTATTGTTTATCCCTATTTGTTGTGTAGTTTCCTCTTCTGTATTTCTCGTTGTTAAATTCTCAGTCTTTCGTTATATTACTATATCTTATGCCTTAATTATTATATCCCAGCACTCTACCGAGGTTAAGTTTTGCACTTATTAGGTATTGTTGTGGTGTACTCATGCTACTCTTCTGTACATATTTTGTGTGCAGACCCAGTACCTTCTACCAGCACCGCTATTAGTAGAGAGTCATATTGCTACTGTGGAGACTTCAAGGTATATCTGCCAGCGTCCATAGACCTCGGAGTCCCCCTCAATCCTTTTATGTTGTTTCTTCTTTATTTTTCCTAGATACTGATGTATAGAGACAGTTAGAACAGTTCCTTAGAGCTTGTGACTTACGACTATAGGTCTTTGGGATATGTTTATACTCAGAGTTTTTGGTTTTACTTGTATATGTCAAGCGGCAGTTTTCTAGCTTTATCCATATATATACCTATTGTTTTTACGGTTTAGCCGTTATTTCTGCTATTATTTCAGTTATTCCGCATCTCTTAGGCTTACCTAGTCTTAGAGACTAGGTTCCATCACAACATCTTATGGAGAGAGATTTGGGTCGTGACAGAATCAGGACGGTCCGTGCCAATCTCTTATCTGGTCGAATTGGTCCGAAATTGGGCGGATCTGGTCCCTTAGACACCCTTATAATTGGAACCATATTATTTTGAGTAAATTTTTTAAATTTGGCTGAAAATAGTACTCCATCCGTTTCCATATTATAGCCATACAAAATATATGTGTCTCATTTTTTACCACAAAATTCAAAAGTCTTCTCTTTTTACTTAAACTTTGTGCCCGGTCAAATGGGTTCACATAAATTGAAACGGAGGGAGTAATGTTTTAAACAAGTTTTTCACTATATAATTGGCCCGATAAAGATAAATAGACAATTAAAATAAAATATTATTGCAGTTAAAGAAGAAACTAAAAGATACACAGTTGAAACTCCACTATTTTGACTAAGAAAATTATTTGGTTGAAAATGATGGAGCTCCGTCAATATTTTTTACATATTGTGACAAAAATAATAAATACATAGTTAAAATTATCTAACGAATTACATATTTATGTTAAATATGTATGGTATATTAATAAATAGCAAGAAGAAACACACAATAGATAAATAGATTAAAATGTATGACTAGGCGGCTATTAATGATTGAAAAATATTTCACTTGATATTCATTATCTCGAAAATTTTGAGTTATAGTGTTACACCCCATACTTTCCATCACATATGAAGTTGAATATCAATGAGGTTTTGGCACAACCAATCGGTCGGCAACACGTCATACGGACAAAGAGTGATTACATATGCTCAATTTACGCCAATTGCCCCACTAGGCACAGAGTCGGTGCGGGCGGCCAGTTTGGCACTTAGGACGGTGGGATTTCTAGACTTGATCTAAAAAGGCGGTACAACTTTCTTCTCTTTCATTTTAAAATTCATCGCCAGCTTCAGCCCAACCAAAATGCCTCAAAGCCCTTTACGAACTTCTAAATGATTCAAGGTTAAGTCAAGGAGAAAATAGTAGGATTTAGCATAAAGAATCTTGTGATCATCACTGTATTGTCTTCTTGTTATACTGATTTTGGAGATACCCTGGAGGCGGAGATAATCGCCATAGACGTGTGAGAATTCAGGAAGCGTAACTAGTTCTTCAACAAGACATGTAAGGCACTTCTTCTCCTTGGCATGTCTTTATGTAAGCGCTTTTTTCTGAATCATCCATTTGTGATAACACTGAATTGCTTAAGGCCTCTCTTGACAAGGTTGTTCATGTTCTTGTATGTTTTTTGTCTGAGGCATTTTCTCTCCAATTTGAGATATTTCTGGATGATATTTTGAGGTGATAAAATGTAATTCATTCTGATTCTGATCTTCATATCTCTTGAAATCGACCTTGCATTACACACACACACATAGGAGCTCTATAAGCGGCCGAATACGGCACCTAATGTGCAGCCATTGATTAGTTGGGTATAAGGAGACATGATGTGAATTATTCACCGAGCTCTCATGTGGCCTGTTATGATCGAGGCCTTCATGAGGCCAGGTACGGAAGGATGTGTTATGAGATACTACCGAGATCTTTCGAGGCCAAATACGCCAAGTCCTATTGAGCCCAAACTGGGACCTCTTGAGGCCGTAAAAGCAAAAACCTTTGCCAAGTCCTCTATGAGGCCGGGAATGACATGAGATGATAAGTCCCAAATAGTGGATAAATAATATTATATTATATCTAATGTGTATTCTTAGTGAGTGGCTTAACCTTTTACAAAACTTGGACACATTCATGATTCATAATCACTCCAGTACATGCCCCCAGTGGCTTATTTTCGGTGCTCAGGTTGAGTGGCGTATTCATGTCTCTTATGTTATGTTCTTGGTTTACATATATTATCAATGTTACATAATCAATACATCTTTCGTACTGATATCCTTTTCTTTTGGGTGTTGTGTCCATGCTCACAGGTACAGATAGACCCGGTGACGTCCCTCCCTAGTAGGGTGTACATTTCAACGGTTGGTTGCCACACTCCACTTATTTGAAATAACTGTACATAATTCAATAAGTACTGGAGTATGTGTCTTTATCATTTTGGGTATGTGTATGCGGTGAAATCCATAGGGTAAAATTTTATAGTCATTATGACGCTTCGTGGGCACGCCTCCAAAGGCTCGAGACAATGGTCTAGGTTTGACCCCGAGAGGTTATCAACGTTTGACCTCGGGGAAGTACAGATCGGTAGTTGTGATGGAAAAATGGGAAGTTCCCAAGGCACGTGATTTAGGCTGACCGAGTCTATTAGGCTAGTATAAGCCCGTACCGTGGTATTAAATGACTATACCAACCATATATCTATGTAATAAATGCATTTATACTATGTTGGAATTCCCTCTCATATATAAAGAGGACCCTTGTCATTTTGTAAAGGAGGAGAATATCACACACAACATTCAATACAAGAACATTCCCTGCTCTCTAACACATTCTCCTTGATTCTATTATTTACATTTATTGCTTGCATTTATTGTGTTCCATTAATTGCTCTTCATTTATTGCTCATTATTGATCATAAAGAGCTCAGATCAAAGCTCCTATAATTATTAGTCCTTCATCGGCCGGTCACAACTCAACGCTAAGCTCGACCTCGAGGCCCCGTATAGGCCAGCTCGAGGCCCATATCCTCAACCATTCGGTTTGCTTAAACATACTGGTTTCAAAGTTTTTATCTCATTTCCTAGTCTTACATTTAGCATCTGATGACTAACAACTAGCATAAAAATAAGTCACGTCTTTTTAGAACCACAAAATCAAATCTAATTATCATTACCATTTTCAAGGTAAACATTTTGGCGCCCACCGTGGGGATAAAAATAATAGTGATTATTTTCTTGCTGGTTTACTGCATAACACAAGTTATCTTTCACACTTTTTCTTTTTCAAGAATCTTTGATTTTAGGTTAAAATGTCTACCTCAGTAAACGCACATGAAAACAACGGTCTTGAGGACCATGGAGAGAATGGTGTAGCAGTTCTAAGCATTGGTGTACCACCGCGAAACCCTGAGAATGCACCAGAACCAATTCTCGTGGACGTGGTCTAGGGCAACACCCAACACATCGACATAAGCTCCCACACCAATAAGAGCATACGCCAAGAAGCCCAACAAGATGCTTAGGAAATCCCAGTGCGAGGGGAGCAAGAGGTTAGCCTTCACGTTATTTTTGAAATGTTACAGGCACAACAGCTAGCAATTGCTCAACTGCAAAGCCACCAAAAAACTCCAAGCAAAACAGCACCGGAGACGGCTCCTCGAGCCGAACAGGTATCGGAGAGATCGAATAACAACAGGTCAGCAACCGACCCTGCTATTATGAAGATGCTCGAGGACCGCAAAAGAGGATTAAATCGGGTGAAAACATGATAGAAGCTAACAATAAAAAGGTAGAGACCTACAATTCAAGGGTCGACCAGATCTCAGGCGCACCCCCGATCCTGAAGGGTGATGATTCGAAGAAATTCGTACAAAAGCCATTCCCGTCAAATGCGGCTCTGAAGCCCATCCCGAAGAAGTTCAGAATGCCCCATCTCCTGAAGTACAATGGGACCTCGGACCCCAACGAGCATGTCATAGCTTACACTTGTGCCGTAAAGGGAAACGATCTAAGGGACGACGAGATCAAACTGTCCTACTAAAATAGTTCGGAAAAATGCTTTCGAAAGGGGCCATGATGTGGTATCACAACTTAGCTCCAAATTCAATAGACTCATTTGCCATGCTGGCAGATTCTTTCATAAAGGCGCATGCCATTGCCATCAAGGTGGCTACAAGGAAATCTGACATCTTCAAAATCAAGCAAAGAGAAAACAAGATGCTGTGGGAGTTCGTATCTCGCTTTCAAATAGAGCGAATGGGATTACCACCAGTCTTTGATGACTAGGCAGTATAGCCCTTCATCCAAGGTTTGAACGAACGAAGCTCGGTGGCTTCGAAGCAGCTAAAGCAGAATTTGGTTGAATACCCCATCGTAACTTGGTCGGATGTCCACAACTAATATCAGTCGAAGATTAGGGTCAAGGATGACCAACTGGGAGCCCCCTTGGGCTCGGTATATCCAAGCAGACTCCTGGCAAAGGAGCCAAAGCCAAACAAAGAAAGGTACCAACCATACACCAAAAATAGGAGAAACACCCCAAGGCGTAACATACCCCGAAATGATCGAAGGACAGATCAAGGTTAAAATCCTCGGGGACTCATGAGCAAAGCCATATTAGACAGACAAACAGGACTGACGGAGGCACCCTGCCTGTCAGAATACAACTTCAACTTTAACATTTCAGACATCGTATCTGCCATTAGTAAAATTAGAGACACCAGTGGCCAAGATCTATACTATTAGATCTGTCGTAGAGGAATCCCAACTTAGTGTGTGAATTTCACGGCACACATAGTCATAGGATCGAAGATTGTAGGCATCTCAGAGAAGAAGTAGCCCGGCTACTCAGTAAAGGACACCTTCGAGAATTCCTTATCGACCGAGCCAAAAATCAGTTCCGGGAAAGAGAGGCGAACCAAAAAAATGAAATAGATGAGCCGCAACATGTCATCCACATGATCGTTGGAGGGATCGACATCCCGCAAGAACCCATTGTCAAACGAACAAAAATATCCATCACTAGGGAAAAACGGACTCGGGGTTACATACCCGAAGATGCTCTCATATTTAGCGACGAAGACATCGAGACCCTGTCTAAACCTCATAACAATGCCTTGGTAATTTCTTTTCTTGTGAATACATTTCAAATTAAGCGTGTGCTTGAGGATCCAGGTAGCTTGGCCAACATTATCAGGTCGAGGGTGGTGGAGTAGCTCAGACTGCTCAACCAGATCGTGCTCGCCTCTAGAGTCCTCAACGGATTCAACATGGCGAGCGAAACAATGAAATTGGAAATCACCCTCTCGGTCAACGTGGCCGGCACAACCCAAAATGTTAAGTTTCATGTCATCAAAGGAGACATGAGGTGCAACGCCTTGTTCGGAAGGCCGTGGATACACTGCATGAGAGCAGTACCATCAACCCTTCATCAAATGATGAAGTTTCGGATGAAGGACGGAATAAAAATTGTGTACGGGGAACAACATCCAGCGAGGGAGATGTTTGCAGTGCACGATGTGGCACCGGCATCGACGGCATCAATATCGAAGGAGCCAAAGGATAAGCAAACAGTAAAGCAGCAATCATAAGACACATTCTCGGCTACACCCAAATAAAACAAGCAAAGGACAGTGTCGCATCCTTAGAACAAATGATGGAAGCATGTCGAGGCTCAAAGCGCCATCACCACTAAGGTATAACCGTCTCCTTTTTATTTTATCATACACTAACATTTGTGCAGGTGTCCGATCAGAACAGTCGAAGTGTTGTCCATCTTGAAGACCATAAGTTTCAAAGCATACGTTGCACTCTTTTCCTTCGATCGGGTTTTACCGAAAAGGTTTTTAATGAGGCAACATCTATATGCTACCTAAGGAGAACTTAACAAGTATTCAAGGCTTCTCTTCAATCAACCTTGTACACTAGGGGGAATCCCCTTGAAGATCACCTTCGCAAAGAAGTCAAGATGCGCCAAAAAGGGTCTCGATAGGAAAATGATGTATCGGGCCAAACGGTCGAATGAACTGTGTCCGCATAGAATAATTGAGCCCTTGATGGCGAAAACATGTTGTCACACCTCCTTTTTACCTACACCCGCAAGGGCATAGGGGAGTTTTCCAATTAAAAGACAATCGAAATGGAATTTATTATTAAAGATTTATAGTTGCCACTTGGGAGATTTATGGTGTCCCAAGTCACCAGTTGAATCCCGAATCGAGGAAAAGATTGACTCTGTATTACAGCCCGCGAACCAGAAATCTGAGTAAGGAATTCTGTTAACCCGGGAGAAGGTGTTAGGCATTCCCGAGTTTCGTGGTTCTAGCACGGTCGCTCAATTGTTATATTTGGCTTAAATTATCTGATTTTAACAATTATGAACCTATGTGTAAATTTTACCTTAACCGCTTTTATTCATTATTAAAGAAAATTGCAACGTCATTAAAACAAGTCTTGAACCACGTCACATAAATGCACC